TTTAAATTATGCTAAGTGAAATCTGGAGTGATTTAATTTTGAGAGATTCGGATAATTACGATGGATTTTTCTTTAAAAGCTACTTTAATTCATAAACATTTAATTGCTGAGAAAATAAATTTTCATTGATAAATTTGGAAATGCATGTAATTTCGACTGATTTGGTGAATTATTCAATGTACTTTATTACAAAAATATCCAGTTCGAAATCTTTTTTGTTTGAAAATATTCTTTTTGTCGTTAGTTTTTTATGAATATTAAAGACAATGAACATTAAAATCAACAATAACGGGTGTGTATTATACATAATTAGCTTTGTTCTTTTATTAAAAAAATATTACTTGAATGTCTTTTTTTTTTTGTAGAAAATTGAAGGAGAAAAATACTTGTAATTTAAATTATAAAGTAAATATTTAAATGAGGAAAACAATATTCCCACTTTAATTCCCTCTGCAAATTTATTTCCAACAAAAATACTAATTACATTATAGAGAGATGCTACAGTCTCGTTACGAAATTATTCCGTCGAGGTTTGTAACCGTTTGATCATAATGTAACCGTCAAGGTAATTGATTTAACGACTACAAATTTCGACATAATAATTTTATAACGGGACCGTAGCATTTTACATGTACGGAGCACTAAAAAAAAGGTCCACTGGCCCGTGTGAACGTGGGACGCCATGTGCCGTCGGTTGAAATTCGAACATTATTTTATTTTGTAAGAAAAATCTTCTGATGACTTTATCATGCTCATTACATGGTTCCTTTTGATTGGTGCAGCATAACATGGTCGACATTAATTTCTGTCAGGGGCCCATTGTTTTCTCTATTTCCAGTTTGACGCCATGTACTTTTCTACAATTTTTTTTTTTTCATCACTAATAGTAATTGGGGTTGAGCTCAAGTTAACTTTGAGCTTTACAACAATGCATCAGGGTTTTTATCATAGTTAGAATATATTTATAAGAATGCATGATGTATTAAATAAACGGAGTTTGACGGGTGCGGTCACACGAATGTGAAGCATCAAAACAGGGTGAACCTAGATGAGCATAGATGGGTCTCAGTGAAGTTTCATCTTAAAATCAGGGTGAGCCTAGATAGGTCTTAGTGTAGTTCTATCCTATAATCAATTGGTGGTAGGAGAAGTAGTCAACTAAATTATAAGTTAGGCATATTTCTCTGTATAAACAATCTAGGACAACTCACAAGTGTATATTCTAACACGCCCACTCAGTCCTTCATATGAGGCTCAAGCTCAATTGGGCTGAGTGAACTGGCTTTGTTACCATGGAAAAACAGGGATTGACGGGTGCGGTCTTACGGTCGTGAAGCGCACCAAAGCAGGGTGAGTCTAGATGGACCTTAATGGGTCCCATTCTAAAACTAATTGGTAGTATGAGGAGTAACCCACAAGGCATATAAAATAGGCATATATTTCCTGTATAGACGATGTGAGACAGCACACAAGTGTATATTCTAACATCTACCTCCCTAATTTTATAGGTTATCAAGATTGATGCAAATTTAGGTATTATCTTTACGAAAATTCGTTCTATCTTCTTTCCTTTATAGGCTCATCTTCGTAGCATTCCACCTTTAGACGACTAGTCAAGTCGGTTACCCAATCTTTCCGGTGCATACTGATAGCTCATTTTGGTAGCACATATATAATCGGGTCATTGGAGGAACTTAAACATTTTCTTGTATCAGTCTTATAATTATTTCTGACTTGTTCTAGCCATTTGAGTTCATGAAACGAGCAGTATCTAACTTGAAATCAGATAATTTCACCTCATCGAGTAAACTGTTGAGCTGACTTAAGATTATATCACCCACGATAAGCATGAATTTATGTGTGCACCGACTGATGTGGTAGGAGACTAACATACCATACATATTCATATATATGTTCATCATGTGGTAGGAGAATAACATGTCATGCATTGTGGTGTGATTGATAGATCATGCAAACCCATGGTGAGCAGTTTCGCAGAGCTAGTTAATAATTAGTCATACTTTTTCTGTATAGACGATGTGGGACAACTCACA